GTACAGCGGAGCGACATCCTCTTACCCACCTTTTTAATATTTATATTTAATAATTTTAGATAGGTATATATTATTATATGCCCATAATATCTACCATAATAGCTTGTATGTGATTGTTTCGCCATCTATCCCAACAAAATAGTAAATGTGTAATACTTGAAACGCTTTACTATGAATGTAGATAGCGCCACTTACCATTCCCCGATATTCCGTATACAATAACGGCACACTCCGAGAATATATGGCCGTGGTCCCGACAATTTTTATGGTAAAATTGATAAAAAAAAACTAATTTTCCAAAAAAGTGAGTTATTGGCACTTTTTCAACTAAGTACTTAGTACCTACCTAAAAATAAGTTTCAGGTGTGACTGTAGCCCTATAAGCCACATCCGTGTGACTACATAAGCTCTACGCTTATGACAACTTACATGAGCATTATACAGATAATATTTTGATATAACAAAGGGAACCCTACGATATTATTTCCAAACACAAATAATAATAGTAAAAGTAAAAGGAACGGTACCGTGAGCGGCTGATTGCGACGCAGTTGAGCAACATTTTCGGAGTATCAAAGGAAATTTAAATACAAAAGAAAACCTACACATTGAGCATGGAAAAAAATCTGCAACGTTGCCATTTTCTATTTTGGACTGTACCTATTATACAAAAATATTTATTTAATTATAATAATTAAAAATATAACATGATTTCATAGTCAATATCAATATGTAATATACCGAGTCACATTATACAGTATATAGATCTGTTTGATAATAATAAAATAATAATAAATTAAATTGATATACCTTGGTTAGGGTGGATCGAATTAATATGAAAAAAAATTTTTTTTTTTTGCGAAATCTAATAGTTCTTAAAAGTTGTGTTTTATACTCAATTAAGTGTATACAAAACATGAAAATGATTCGGCCAATTTTAGAGGCGCCGCGACTTCCTTCTTTTCAATTATTATTTTTACATTAGTTTTAATTGTATAAAAGTATAATTGATATATTTTATGAGTTGAATACACATATTTTAATTATTTAATAATATTGTAAACAAGTATACAAATCTCTATCTAAACTTAACCTAATTTAAAATCTTTTTTTGAATGAAACTGAGGCATAATTCTACGAGATTCAATCCTTGATCTTATAAATCCGTCCCTTCTAGTTTGTCCACATACAGCTATAGATGCTTCTGTCACAAGTTTCACACTTCTTGCGACAGCTTGAGTATGACAAGGAAAATTAAAAATGTTAAAATGGTTCTCCTTATATTGACCTTATCTTCTATTAGATAGAATGGACAAATTCTTTTTAACAATGCGTGTACATGGTCACAATACGTTGTTACCATTTCAAAAAGGTTAGTCAATAGCTATTGCGTTATTATCTAGCAATAAATAATTATAATGAGTTTCAGGAATACTGTATACTAATAGTTCATTAAGAAATCTTTTAAATGAATAAGAATTGAATTATCCAGATATAAACTATATTATAACTAGGAGGTTGAATCAAGATATTCTGGAAAATTTATTTAGCTACCTTAAAGGAATGGTTGGGTCAAATAATCATTTAAGCCTACTTGATTTTAAACATTGGTAAGTGGTAGTTAATAATCAATACCTCTGATGTATTAACAATAAAAATATTTATTAATGAATTTGGATACTTTTATTTTTTATGTACTAGCCTTAAATGGTATTTATTAGGAAAACATGCCAACATAGCTTTCAGTGAAAATAGAAATACCGAAGATAGCAATGAAGAACGTCTAATTGGAACTGAATGCCTCTCTGGAGTTATTCTTCAGAAAGCACAACTGCACAAGTACAAGTAGTACAACCTTCTATTAAATCCATTAATTTGTCAACACATGATCCTATGGCAACAATAGAATCGTCTTTAGGTCAAATTTCTGTTGAAGTTTCTGAAGAAGAATTATACTTGTTAGATTATTTTGAAAAAGAGGTACTGTTAAGTGTAAAAAAACAATTTAAAAATATAATTTAGCTCAATTTTGTTTAAACATGTTTTCAGTGTGATAATACCTCTTTAACTGCAATTGACATGGACGGGTTAGAATATGTAACTGGGTATGAGGCAAAACGATTTTTTACAAGGTACCCATATCTCGGTGAAATAAGTTCATCTGAAAACAATAGAGTACAAATTGGACTACATTTATTTCAAAAGGACATTTAATTACACCATCTCAAATATTGATGGTTGAATTTGACAAACTCCATGGGGATACATTAAATGGTAGTGAAAACATTAACTAAAATAGTAATGGCACATATTGAACACAAGTTACCAGAAGAAGTCGTCAGCTGCCTAGTTCGAACTAGAACATTTATCCGGTTCAATCAAATAAATAAAAAAATTAATGATAAAGTACACATCATTAACAACAAATATAAATTTAAAAAGTTTATGGTCTAACAATAAATTACATATTATTGTACAAATAAATAATAATATATAAAATAGGTACTAATATAGGTACATAAAATAAAAAACATCTATATTTTATTTAGTTACCTACGAATATTACCAATATTTTGCCACACCTCAAATTAAGTAAGTACTTAAAAATCAGTTAATTGTAAAAGAGTATTTCTTAAATTATATCAAAAAAACATCAGTAACCTACCAAAATACTATACAATACTCAATAACATAGAGTGGTAAGTAGTAATATGTGTATATTAGGTACCTAGTCAAGGTGTGTTACAGAGGTAAGTATACATAATAACAAATAATACATTAATATATAGGTACCTATACTTTGTGTTAGAATATTAGCATTGAGCTTATTAAATAAAAAGTTTTTTGGGAAAGTTAGGTTAGGTAAGTATCATTATTCATCAGTCATTTTGAAACGTGAAAACTGAAAACAATACCTAACAAACAAAATCCCAATAACTGTACAGTACTGTACATAACTGTACATACACCATACACATTACACAATACAGTAATTATACACATTACTTAAAAATCGGTCGAATAAAATAATTTAAGTACCCAAGCCAATCAACTTATTAATATAATATAGTAAATACGATTTATAAATTATCATATTTTGAAATTGGCGGGAAGTAAACATGATAATCAGGAGACAGCGTGACGTAGGCGAGTTGCTCAGACAGAGTTGACAACATACCATGTTATTTAGCAATGTAGCAATCAGCAATGTATGGTATGCTTATATGACGCCGGAACGTGCCGGTTTCGGAGGCAGGTCTGTGCCATAGACCAGTGGCCACATAGTGGGAGAAATTTGGCCTCGCGACGTCGGAGGGAATTCATTTGGATGCGCGTGGCGATACCACTCTCACAGTCCCTCCTGTAACGAAGTATAGTGGATATCGGTATACCTCAAACAGGCGAATTTAATCTCAGCTTCAAGAACCTTTTTTTAGTGTAAACTCCGCCAGGAAAATAAAACAGGTAAAATTGAGTTCATGCCGTTCATGGAAACTCCGCCAGTGAAAAAAAAGAACAGTATAGTACACAAAACAATTAATATAATATACATATTATTAAACAAAATAAAAAAAAAACTTAAAAATAAAAATAATAAATGTTCGAATAAATCATACAAATTGCAATAAAAGATGTTATAATAATAATCGAAAAATATGTAGGTATATTATATTATTATGACATAATATGTTAAAATACTTATAATATTTTGCTTAATATTTAAGATACAATAAGTTCACTTAGTTCACTATCAACTAATTAAGATACAATTCCAAAATTATTATAGAAATAATATCAGTGTTCGATCACCTATGGTCAGTTCACATAAAGTGCGTTTCATATAAGTGCGGGTGCTAGTTCGGTATGCGCTCTACAGGTTTTGCCGTTAAATACCTACTTGATTTAATATTACTGAACATATATAATATATAATATAGCCACATACGTAATATCATGTATAAATTAAATATATAAGTATATAATATTATGTAGTATAAATAATAATGTATTCTTACAGATTGAGTGTCTTCAGAACTTAATGTTTCAACATTAAATGGAGAATTTTTAATAATTGGACTTCTATATTTTGGGCTTTTATCAAATGTATGCTAAATGTTTAAACATAAAAAAATGTTACATATAATAAATTTTTAGAAATAGTTATTATTTAAAAACAAATACACCAATTACCAGGTGTTTGGAAGGAATTGCGTTTGGTTTAAGCGTAGGTACGTTGACACTAGTGATGGGTCGTTCGTGAACGAATCGTTCCAAATGAACGAGTCCGACAGAGGAACGATCAGGAACGATTCCACCTGATTATTTTTTCTCGTTCCTTCGTTCCATTTCGTACCTACTACCTAGTACCTACATTCGACCCGTTCCATACATCTACCGAGTACCGAGTATTGCTCATGAGTACAATGGGCGATTCGTAGAGGGGATGGTTCGGTACTTCGGTCACTCAAACACCGATATCATGTTATCTAGTTATGTCAAAATTACAATTAAGATAAGGAACTCCCGAGTCCCGTCCATGGTCGTTAAGATAAGGAACTCACGACCAACCAATAACCATACGAATAAAATGCACCTTTATTTGAATTTTCGGGAATTTTGACCTTATTTTACTTGTGTGTTTTTTTCCACGGTCTATTTTTGCAATGTTTTACTCCACAATGTCTGTTTTTGCAGTATTTTTCTCCACAGTATCATTCCTTTTCAGTTTTCGTACGTATCACGTTCACAGTATGTAATATTGTACTTTTAGTTATTTTATTGTGTTTTTTGTAAATTATATATATTAACTACCTACTTGGATTTGTTTACGTGGGCTTGAATCAAAAAACATTATTTCGGTAATTAATAATTACTAATTATAATAATTAGGTATTTTATTTTATTTTATTTTTATTTTTAGGTATTTTTAGGTATATATACTATATAGTCGAGTATAATATTTTGTTTGTTGATCTTTGTGCTCATAATTTTATATTATAATGGATAAGAAAAAAAGTGACGTTTGGAACCATTTTACTTTACTCGACAATGAAAAGGCTAAATGTAGTTATTGTTCTATCGAATATTCATTTAAGGGGGGATCAACAGCTAATTTAAGTCGCCACTTAAAAAGAAAACATATTATTCAGTACGAGGCAAAAAAAATTAGTACAGAGCAGGACATCGATGAACCGGATTGTACTATTTCAGTCAAATCTACCACATCTCGTCCTTCAACAAGTGCACATAAAATCCAAAATTCTATTCCCCAAAATACTCAGACAAAAATTGACTCATTCGTATCAAAACCAATTTCCCTTACTAAATCAAAACAAATTGATAACCAATTGGCTATTGTAATAGCAAAAGAGTTTCAACCGTATAGCCTTGTCGAAAATAATGAATTTAAAAATTTGTTAAATTACTAAATCCCGGATACACATTGCCTTCAAGAAAAACCATTTCTAAAAGTATTATTCCACAATTAGTAGAAAGTACAAAACAAAAAATAAAAAATAGTATTAAAAATGCCGAATATATCGCGTTCACCAGTGACGGCTGGACTTCGGTTAACAATGATAGTTTTGTAGCAATAACCATTCATTACATAGACAAGGAAGAATGCATTTTAAAAACACATTTATTAGGTTGTTTTAATTTTCTAGAATCTCATACAGGTGTTAACTTATCAGATTTTATGAACAATTGTTTTATTGAATGGGAAATACAAGAAAAAATTAAAGTAGCAGTTACCGATAACGCATCAAATATTGTATCTGCAATTAATTTAAATACAAAGTGGCGTCATTTACCTTGTTTGGCACATACTATTAATTTAATAGCACAAAGTGGCTTAGGAGAAATTTCTGAAGTTCACAAAAAGGTAAAAAGTGTTGTAGAATTTTTTAAGCGGTCTTCCCAAGCGTATACTAAATTAAAAAATATGCAAGCTCAAATGGGTTACCCCACCTTAAAATTAATTCAAGATGTCGCCACGCGCTGGAATTCTACATATGCAATGTTCCAAAGATGTATTGACATAAAAGAGCCTTTAGTTTCAACAATAGCAGTTATAGGCAATGTTAACAATTTATTACAAACAGATTTTGAAATTATGAAATATTACTGTGACATTTTTAAGCCATTTAACGAAGTTACCATAGAACTTAGTAGTGAAAAAGAAATATCTATATCAAAAGTTCTTATTTTAGTTAACATGTTGATATCTCATATAAAAAAAAAAAAAACAAGAAAAAGATTTGCCTCGAAATATTTATTGTATGGTTGAAAAAATGGAATCTAAAGCAGACAGAAAATTTAAAGACATAAACGTGGACCGCATATTAACAGAAGCATCAATTTTAGATCCGAGGTTCAAGAAAAAGGCATTTATTTCTAGTACGTCATACCAAAATGCATACCAAAAATTAATTCTAAGCGTAATTAAAATAATAACATCAAACCAAACACCATGTAATATAAATGATGAAATTGACATGTCCACTGAACCCGAAAACAGCCAACCTGAAAAAACCTTCGAAATTTGGAAAGACTTCGATGCACAAGTAATTAAAATTGAATACTAAATATTTTACAAAACGTATACCCAATACCCAGTGTATTATGTTTTTAATTTATTTAAATTACAGGCATCCACTACAACTACTATTAGTACGCCAAGGTCTCAAGCTATTATAGAAATAGACAGGTATATGAACGAACCATTATTACCCAGAAAATTGGATCCGTTGATTTGGTGGAAGGATCATAAGGTACTTTATCCAAATTTATTTAAGTTAATGCTGCAGAAATTATGCGTTCCTTCGTCTTCGGTCCCATGCGAAAGAACTTTTTCTAAGGCTGGTTATACAATTACAGATCGACGCAATCGATTGTCTGTCAAAAATACAGAACAATTATTATTTTTAAATAATAATCTTTAAATTTATTTACTATAACTTGTAAGTTCATTTTTTTTTTAATTGTGTACGAGCTGTAATATTTATTATTTTATTATATTGACTAAAGTTACACATTTTTATTTAATTATGTTTGTAATAAAAATTATTATTATTTATTAGTTATAATTATATAATTATTATAACAGGACGTTGTGCTGATTGTGGTTATTCGGTTCGGTATTGGTAATCGGTACTCGGTACCTAATACCAATACCGAACCTTAATATGATACTATAATAAAAAAGTACCGAAAGGAACGAAGGAACTAGTCATTTGGAATCGTTCCTTCTGTGAACCTGGAACGAAAGTAACGATTCACTAAAAGGAACGAAAAATCCCATCACTAGTTGACACTTCGGAGAATAACCAAGGACTAATTGAATTTGTGGTTTTACATAATCTGTGGTATCAAAATGTAATGAACTATTTACTTTTTTATATAGAAATGAAACATATTATTAATCATTATCATTATGTATATAAATATATATATTATATGCAGTTACTATCTATAATTAATTAAAAGTTTCTATGTTTTCTTACCAGCTTTAACATTTATCTGATCTCCTTTTCCACGTAAATCAATCCATCTCTTTTGTAACTCTTTATCTTTAGGAAAGCTAAAGAGACGTGGTGCGGGAATAGTTTTTTGGAACGCTTTACTGCGACTTCCACTATTACAACCTTTGACGGAGCACAGAGGCATATTTGAAAGATATTAAATAAATAAAACTCAATAGTTATTAAATAATTAGAATTTATTATTACAATGTACAACACATTACAATATTTAATTAAATACAAATAATAAATGCAAATGCAAAACAATGCATAATAAAAAACTATAATGTTGATCAAGTTCCCGCCTAAAATTTTATTTCCTATAAATAACTTCAATATTTAAATCTGATGAAAATAAACAAAAGTAGATCAGCTGTATAATAATTTTCTAGATATTTTTACATCAATTTATATTGTTAAAACAATAAAATAATCATTTAAATTGAAACACACATTGGAACAGCAGTTCAACCATTTTATAAAAAAAACAACACAAATTGAGATATAAAAATGAATTATTTTATGTAGGTTTTAAACAAGTTCAGAAATGTAATAAATAAGTTTGACACGTTTATATAAAAAAAAATCGTTCATTGAATCCTCTTCACTGAATTCAACATATGTAATATGTAATAATAAATATTTCCAATTTGATGCATATTTACACCTGAAGAAACAACTATATATTATAAATACGAGTACAATGAATAATTATTATATATTATATCAAAGTATAGCATTTTAAGTATAACATTAAATAAAGAATAGATTCGGATATATTGGATATTGGCATATTTGTCATTAATCATTATAATATGGTTAATTCCTAATGGAATTTTTCAATTGTATTAATACTTTTACGTGTCTTAGTACCGACTCGTTACTATATAGTCTCTATCCTACCGGGCGCGATTCAAATTGGAGACAGGCTTAAGTCATAATTCATGGAATAAAACCAACATTTTACGATATTTTCCATGATATCAACGAGATGCATATCGCAGCAATCAAATAGTAGATTTTGACAACATACCATGTTATTTAGCCATGCATTGCTAGAGACCCACAGGAAATCGAGCGCTCTCATTGGCTGTATTACATTGTGATAACATTATACAATTATTATTATTAAATTTACGTGTAGGTACATACATTCAGTTTTAAAAAGGTGGGCAAGTGGGTGTCGCTCTGCTGTACAGTAGGTTACAAGTGGGTCACTGTAAAATGGATGGTATTAAATTTGAATTCAATGATATAATATCATTGTATAAGAAAAACGATTCTGAGCGGTGATGGTATGTCAGTCTATGTATAAGGCATATTATATACATATCTATGGTATTAAACAAAAAATTGACCTATAATAGGTACCTATAATAAATTCCAAATTAATCATATCACAATATCCATTAGATACTTATAACGCGTTATACATCAACAAAAACCGTGATACTATCATAGATATATAATAGTACACTTTAGAAGTTTCAAGTACCCACGAATAGTATTATTCAATCACAACAAAATAACTAAAATCGTAATTCTTGGTTTAAATATGAAATTTTGTCTAAATTTGAAATTAAAATGTCTGTAAAAAATAAGTGTGTTTATATATTTTTTAGATTTTTTGGTTACAGTATGAATTATTTAAGAGAATCTTTGTTTTAAATTTTCAACTCTTAGTTATAAAAACTGAACATTTTATAATTTTTTAATTCCAACGATTGATAATTTTTGAGATTTTGATAAATTTTGTCAAAATTCCAACTTTAAATGCTTATAAAAAAAAATCGTGCCTATGTATTTTTAATATTTTTCAACTGATATTGTAACAATATATCAGGAGCCTTGTGTTAAATTTTTACACTTTTTGGCCCAACAAATAAAACTTTATTGATATTTATAGAAAAAAAAAACTAAAAAAAATTGAAAGCTGTAAATGTCCATAAACAGCTCAAAAAGAGTCAAAATATTTTCAAAATTGTATGGTGTATAGGAAATGCTAATATAAACATTCAGTGAAATTTTCATGTATCTACAGTTATTCGTTTTTGAATTACAACAAAATAAGGAAATCGCTACATGAGAAATCGAGTGAACATCCAATGTTGTAAAAATTTGAATTTCAAACGCTCATAAAAATTTAATTTGACATTCCGGTAGAGATTTTTTTATTGATAAAGGTAGACAAACTTATGAGTAATCTTATATTACATTTTCAAATCTTAGATTTAAAAAGAAAAATTTTTACGAATTCTTAACTCAAAATAATTTGCTAATTTTCGTGATTTTTCCATATTTTGTCAATTTTTGAACTTTAAATGCTTATAAAAAAAAATTGTGACTAAGGATTTTTAATATTTTTCATCTGCCTTTGAAACAACATATTAGGAGCCTTCTATTAAATTTTCAAGCTTTCGCAACCAATAAATAAAATTTTATTGATATTTTTAGAAAAAAAACTAAAAAAAAATGGAAAATGAAAATGTCCCTAAACAGTTCAAAATAAATCAAAATATTTTGAAAATGTTATCGTGTATAGAAAATGCAAATATAAACAACCAGTGAAAATTTCATGTATATACGTTCATTTGTTTTAGAGTTACACCAATAACCAAAATCGATTTTTTGGAAAATCGATTTTGCGTAAAAATTCCCGTTTTTCCTTAATTTTTATGTTGTTTTTCCCGGCGCTTGTGAAAACTACTGGGAAATTTATACTTTTGACCCCCCCAAAGTACCAACTAGATTCACTTTCCTATCAGAAAAGCTACTGATGAAGAAAATCCAAGCACTTTTACTGTCCTAAAACGTGATGACAGACACAAAAATATAAATAAAAATATAAAAATATAAAAATATAAAAATATAAAAACATACATCATTGTAAAACCAATACATTCATCGCTCCGCTCAGAATCTAAAATTCAAATAATGTAAAATAACAATAAGTTCTTAAAAATCAAGTTGCGTTTAGAGGTATGTACATACAGTCAGTTTTAAAATAAAAATAATGTAACTAACAATAATAAATGATAAGTTTTAAAAATTCAAATTACGTGTAGGAGTAGATACATACAGTCAGTTTTAAAATAAAATTAATAAATTATAAGTTCTAAAAATTCAAATTACTTGTAGAGGTACATATAGTCAGTTTTAAAATGTATGGTACATATTATAAAAATAATCTTAAAAATATAAATATTTACAATGAACCATGACTTTCAGCATTAGGCCGATTAGAATTAATAGGTATTGAGATTCAAACTTCTCTTTCTTTTTTTAGTAGTACGTTCCCCTGTTGGAGGTCTACCAGCTAATAACCGTTTGCTACCTTTTGTTATACCTACACTTCGTCGAGCTATTGTGGTAGGTTGAACCTTAATAGTTTCACCATCTCTATTCCTCAAGGGTATACAATTTCCAGCAGTATGTAAAAAATTTTCCCATTGCCCTTTGCTTTTCATTTTTTTAAGCCTTTGCTCTAATTTTTTATTCCTGTTGATGATGATCCATATGAAGTATTACAGAGATATTAAGGTTAATACATTTTCAAATTTGCTGTTATCATTTGATTCTGTACTGGTACTTGGTATGGGTTCTATTAAATTTAATTCTTCTACATCAGTATCATTATAATTAGTTGGATTATTTATAGTATCATTTGTTTCTGTCTCATTTATTTGTTGTATTTCTGGTTGTTCTAACAGAAATGGATCATAAAATGATTTATCCAAGACTTGTTCTCCAAAAGCAATTTTAGCTATATTATAACGGTCTGTAGGTGTTATAGAAGGAAAATTATCAGATTTAATATTAAAAAATTGAAAAATAGCGTACTGATGCTTACAAAACTTTCCTGCCAAGCCAGAAGAACATGAACAAAGTCCACATTTAATATGAACATAATACCATAAAGTTTCTTCTTGTTCACTTGGCACTAAAAATTCATTATCATTTTCTTGTACAATCATTTCTTTTTTTAAATATGTAACTTTCTTCATCATTTTTTGTATCATTAATCTTATTGAGGAAGTTCTACTGTCTGCAAATTCTCTTAATCTTCTTTTATAATAATTTTCTAAAGCTGTACTAGTTAAATCTAATAAGGCTAACACATTGTACGCTTTTACTCTACCTAAAACGTGATCTTTATAAAGCCTAACTGCCACTTCACAATAGTTATTAGTTACATGACCTCTAGAAAAACTGTCCCTAAAACAAATACACCATTTTTCTTTATACGTCCAATAATTACGCAAATACTTTGTCCATTGAGCAATCGTCCTAGCAATCGCGTTGTAGAGTTCATTGATCTAGTAGATGACGATTCCGAACCAGCAGAAGACATTAAATTTGAGAAAACCATCACTTCTGAAGACATTGAAATTGAGACAACCACCACTTCCCATGGCAATCAGGAGGACTCTGCTTCCAAGAATGTTGTAAGTATAATAATTTGGAATGAAATTTTTTTCGTGTTGTATGTACTGTGATTTACATTTAATTTTTTTTAGGATGCCGTTGAACAGCAATATGAGGATTGTGGTTGGCCGTTACCCGGGGTAAGTGTTTATTTATATTTTATAATGGTCGAAAAAAATTTTGGATTACCTACCAAGAATAATTGAACATTTATTACAAGGTTCCTTATGAGTTGTTCTTATTGTAGCTAAAAAAATTAAAAATCGTATTTCACAATTTTTTTTTTATAAGAGTTTACAGTTCAAATGTTTACGAAACATGACAATATCGTGAAAATTTGCAAGTAATTTTGAAGTTGAAAAATCATAATATTTATTGTTTTTATATGTAAGAATAAAATATTCAACACTAAGTTTTCCATAAGTTTTCCTTCAAGTAAGTATAGAGAAAACTCGAAGCATCATTATAGGAAAAATTTTAAGTGCGTTAGAGTTTTTAATTTTTACTAAATAGCGTAACGACAACTGTTTATCCTCAAACGATTTTAAATATTTGTTGTTATTCAAATAGTATAAGTCGTAAATACTTGAAAATTTCATCATTTATTTATATTGGCATTTTCTTTACATGATTTGATTTTCAAAATATTTTGACTTTTTTTGAGCTATTTATTATACAACTGGCATTTTCAATTTTCATAAGAATTTTTTTTTTAAGTGTCGATAAAATTTTTTTGGCCGAGTCAAAATATTTGAAAAATTAATACAAAGTTTATATATATTATAAATATATATATATGTGTATTATACATAAGTTATTCTTATGGCGATAAAAAAAACATATAAGAATCCATAGGCACAATTATTTTTTATTAGCATTTGAAGTTGAAATATAGACAAAATTTCGTCAAAATCTTGAATATATTTAATTATTTGGTAGTTAAAAATTTATAAATATTTTATTATCAAAGCAAAGAATTGAAAATTTAATACTATGCTGTCCATTAGCTAAGCTTAGAATAATTATAAAAAAGTTTGAGGATTATTCAATTTAAAAAATTGCACAAGTGTTTAAAGTTTAATTTTAATTTGAAATCAAAAATACACGTGTAAAATAACGTTTTACTACTAAATAATTTTAGATTTTTGTTATTTTTAAAAAATTACCAAACGTAGGATCTTGGAAACTTTTACTCAAATGTTTGAATGTGTTTCAAATTAGAATATATGACAATATTTAAATATAATATATCCTAGACTGACAAATCATCTCCGTTCAGAATCGTTTTTCGTATACAATGATACCTATCATTGCATTCAAATTTAACCTACTCTAGTCTGAGGTTCACCCCACCCCCTAACGTACAGCAGAGTGATACCCACTTATCCGCTTTTTTTCCTTTGCTTTTTAGTTTAAGACTCTTAAGCTTGACCAGTTGGGTAAGCTAAAAGAAGTGAAAATGGACGTTGATAGCGTAGTTTTAGCGTTTTCTTCCCTCTCGGCTACCGACCCACACTGCCGTTTGACGTGCATGTTGATGGTGTAATTTCACAGTGCACCAACATCAAGCTGTTAGATAGTATTTTCGGCCATTCCCCTAAAGGTATGTTTGGATGATTTATTGTGACTGTAAATCATTGGATATTTTTTTAATTTGTATTTTTTGTTAGACTTCACACATGTAGGAAGTATTTCAGGCCGTCGAGGTAGATTGGCGGAAACGGTTTATGGAATTAATTTTCGGTCCAGCATTGGCCAACCTGTTTAGCCATTCCCTTAGCCGGATGAAGGGGGCCGGTAACTTCAAGTCAAAGAAGTGGCATGTTCACCACTAGGACTGGTCAAAAATTTGTTATGAAGTTGATAGACTCTCAAGAGCAAACGAAGTTTTCGGACAGTGTCTGTAAGCTATTTCATTTTTTTTTTAAAGTTTAGCGTTCACTGTATATCAACTGTTGTTATTTTATTCATATATAATATATATATATTTTTTTTTAATGTAGATTTTATTGCGCTGGACATGGGCTGCAGTTGTCACCAGATGCAGCTGTACCTTATATTAGTAGGTTTATAGACCCCTATAATCCTACTATTGTCATTGTACAGTTGTATTATGGTGTCAACCTGCGGATGCAGTCATCCTGCAGGTCCCTTTTATTTAGAAGGGAAAATGTTTTGCAATCTTGCAATAACGTCAAATTTTTTCATGGCCTGGGTAGTTACGACTTTTGGATACTTCAAAGGAAACCCTAAAGCCACTGTCAAAGTAATTTTTTGTTTTGATTATTAACACAGCAGATTAAAGTTTAATTATAATTGTGTATTTTAGGATATTTTGCCAAATTCAACATACTTACAGGGCTTCAACCCCGCGGTGCATATGCTTCGAAACGGGTTAAGTGCGATCGGCATTGTCACTTGGCTATTGCTCGGCGGCCGTCATGTCGAGAACAGCAATATGGCTCAAGTGAGGAATGTCGACGATGTAGCCGGAAAATTCCTATGTTCCATGACCGACTTCCTCATGGACGCCGTCACCGGGTGTAGCGTCCGTGTTGAATGACGAGCGTCTCGAGAGCAAAATTGCGCCACTAATCAGAATCGTTCATATTTGTTATCACTATTTGTGAAAATCACGTTTCTTATCATCCTTTATAAAAATTATAATGTGATAATATAATAATCATCAATCATACAGGTTTATGATGGGTATTGGGTACTTTCAATTCTATTAGTGAACTAATTCATGTGATTCAGCTCATTAAAATGTCATTGAATCACTGAATCAATTCATTATATTTACATTTTATAATTGTGACTAATATTTTAAACCTAAGGGCTAATAATTATTTATATATAATTTATATCTTTATATATATAATTCTACTGTACGAGTGTTTGTAAGTTGAGTGGGCCTTTGAATGGTTTAGATTCACAATCGGACCCGGTAGGCCCATTCCGGGGAGGTGCTCAAACAGGAATGTTGAGATTTACGGTGGATATTTTTGTTTATAAATGGTTGCCTTGGGTTTTAAAGCTATTATAAAAATAAATATTGATTGAAATCAGAAATAATTTATAAACAACGTAATATAATATAATAATTTAATATAATTAAATCCAAAGAAAATTTTAAAGTTTAAGTCATAGATTTGGTACATTTAACGGGTAACAAAGTACACGGGATCAGCTAGTTTACATATAAAATCAAATTGACAAACTTAAAGTATAATATTAAATGAAAAATCAATCACTGTCACTGTATTATTTATATGTTAATATGTTATATTTATTTACTTTGAAAATACAAAACATAAAATGTTTAATATGTTGTGGTTTTTTCCCTTTAATTATATTTAATAGTTATTATACCAATAATGATTATTTATTTATTTTTTATTATTTATAAAATCATAAAACCAAATAACAGAATGATTTGTTGAGTACTAAAATGAGATTGGAGACAGAATAACTTTTTGTAAATTTATTTGGAAAATATACAATACCAGTTTTTCAACAATTGTTTATATTTTTCATTTACTAAATTAGTATACAAATACGAACAAAGAAGATGAACAGTTATTTCAAATAAAAAATCAATTAGAAGCTGGAATAGGAATATTATCGTCCCTTATTGCAAGTAAAAGTGAGGTGACCGAGAAAGAAATTGCAGCAATGAATAAACATAGCAGTTCCTTACTTCAAATATTACAAGGAAAACGAAAGATAATCGAAATAGAAGAAAATAAGGAACCTGTAAACAAGAACATCGATAAACAGAAACGATTTGTGGCCAAAAAAAGAAAAATTGAATCACTCAGTGGTAGAATAGAATGTAACGAAAGGAAATCTCTGAAGGAAGGGTTGGTATTGGGAGAAGTACAAAACATACATACTTCCCACGATCATACTTACCAGTAATATATTTTAATATCCACATGCTTTTTTTACTATGATTTATTTTTATATTTTAGGACGTTAGGTTTGACAAATATTTTAATGTATTTATTTAATTATAACATATTTTAATTTTACTGTAACTATTATAGATAGACTTAAGGTTGACAAATATTATGTGATTTTTTTTATTTGCTTTAGGTTGACAATATTATATAAAACGAACTTTTTTTATAACACAGTACTTACACAGTAACACTTGTACTTACAAGTAAGTATAAGTTGTCACTTAATACGATTATGCTTTATGATTACCTATCTCATATCGATTTATCTGAAAAAAGTCTTCTATTTTTTTATATATATTATTATTTATTATCTATGATAAGAAACGTGATTTTTCACAAATAGTGATAACAAATGTGAACGATTCTGATTGGTGGCGCAATTTTGCTCTCGAGACGCTCGTGTTAAATGTGTCGTCAGTGGTAAAACTTCTCACGAAGTCTTATCACTGATGGGCACATACGGTTCTCGGCTAGTAGAATTTTGCGTTAACCGCAAATTACTAGTATATTTGTCGAAGAATTGGCCGTATTATGTTGACAGTAGAATCACTACCGTCCTTCGACAGCTCAGTAAACTTATCGATGTGGCCCACAAAGAAAAACTGGATCGAAACGTTTGTATATTTTTTACTATATTTTCTATTGGTTTAATGTGGTTTCTGTGTGCCTTAACGACTGGTTATATTTATGTTTTTGTTTGTAGGTTTTATTACAAATTTACGATTTAGAAATGATTCTGCGGTTTCACGCGTTTGGTAAATCACACTTTCTAGATTCAACAAGATTGTCCGTGTTATTTCCAGTCATACAGGTTTTACCTGGTCGTCGTCGGAAGAGTCGACGCGACGCGGACGGCTATGTCAGGTTCAACCCAACTGCGGTTGGTTGCCGTGTGAACTACACAAATTTTTATTTGTTTGGACATGTGCCTATTGGCTCGTATGTCAGGAAGGATTTGAGTAGGTTGTTCCAAGTCCTAACGCAAGACGTTCTCGCTTGTTCCACCAATGAGGTCAGTTAAGTCGTGGTTATTGTACCTATTTTGGTTGAAATTAAAATTTTTTTTTTTTTTTATTGTCATGTGTAGGCTGCCGAGCGATGGGTATTAATTTTATACAATCTAACAACCCAAGATTGTGGAATGTCTACGGCAGTAAAATCGGCCGACTGCTTTTCTATCAAGAGGCTTGTTAGGGATTATGGTAAGACATCTTCTGACGTTTCTTTTAGCAAACTTTCCATTGCAGGGAACGTCTCTGTAGAAGATGTTTTTATTCGAATTACAAATCCGCATACCTATCAGCTAGACATCGTCAAGTCACTTTTTTTAAAGAGGGCGGATTTGACTGATGTCTAAGTTAGATTAATGGCTATGATTAATTCATTTGAGGTAATACCGGCTCCCTACGTCTACCCTAATAGCCACCGTAAATCGTAAGTGTCCTTTACATTTTTATGTTTAGTTCTTTCTATGCTGATGTTTCGATTTATTCTAGATGCGAGTGGGTGTTCGTTGGCAGGGATGATTCGAGATCCAAGTTGGTCATAGCCACCAAGGCTGAAATGGCGGAGGCAAATAGGTTTCACCTATTGAACAGGGAAGTGGTCGACGTTTTCAATGTATGATAGTTACTTTTTTATTTGTTTTTACTATTCATTCCTTTGCTTAAATGTATACGTGAATATTGTTTTTTTTTCAGGATTCTTCAAATAATTTTCTTAACAAAGTTGAATCCTCTGATGTATGTATATGAGATTTATGGTTAAAATTTTTTTTTATTATATTATATTATATTAAATTTTGTTTTTTTATTTCTTTTGTCATAGGATACTTTATCCCTTAAGGACAGGGTAAATGTACGTGTTGATCGCTGGAAGTCAGAACCATTGAAGGTGGTGCCATACAAATTTTATAACAAGGTCCATTATCCTTTCGGGGCCAAGGCCGATGGTGAACCTGTGGCCGACATTGTATATCGGCCGATATACAATGACTCAGTCGTTAAACAGATAATGGCATCAGTGGCCAGCGGTGCCGCTAAAAGACATACTGCTGCAATTGACGTCGGTGCTGGAGTGCCCAAGGCACCTATCATGCGGCAGTTATTTGTAGACGCGGTGACCGGCCAGCCGATTGGTAAATATATAAATCTAAAAATTGACTGAAATACTTTTATTTTTATTTGTTCTGGATTTATTTTTGTGTTTCTAGCTGATCTCGCCCCTGAATCTCCGACAGAAAACCAGTCTTCTCTGACTGCGCCATTGCCTTCACCAACTTCCAACCTGCAGTTTGGTTTCAATCATCTGAAGATAAAATCACCGACCAAACTTAAATACTCATCCGAAGAGGAAAAGGTCTTAACAAGGTTGATATTGACAAAAGCGGATATAATCAATACCACTGAAGGACTTAATTTGCTTTTAAAACAATGACCTTTTAATAAAGTTCCTAACCGTAGTTTAGTGTCCTTGAGAACTAAAATCAGGGACATGAAAAAAAAATTAGGTTAGGCCTTAGGCTTGTACCTTTTTTTTCACGTAGGTGAAAGTGGATTATGCCTATTGGGGATACCACTATAAAAAAAACGCACCTCGTGCTATACCTCCGTGGTGGTGTGGAAAGTAGCAATTGTTCAAGGTTGGGTTAGGTTAGGGTTGGGTGGTGTGCCGGAATAGGTTAGCACATTATAATATGTTTGGTTCTAGTTATATTTTTAATATTTAATAATTAATCTTAAAATCGAAGTTAAGCATACCAATGTTATACATTGATTTTATGCAGACTTTGACTGTTACATTTTGGAGTCAGTTCATTAATTATCATTGATTTGAACCTATTATTTGAGCCTATTATATTATATTCGTACACACTAATACATTTTAATGTGTTCCAAAAGTTAAGATTAATACTCTTATTAGTTTTGATCAATATTACTCTACTGCATAAAATCAATATGAATTAGAACAATTTTTATATTTTTCAGCTGTAAATCAGTCAGAAGAACATTCAAATGTATTGTTGCAAGAATTGCAAGTAGTTACAGATCTTGAAGATGAAAACATATTGTCTATACAAAATGAATGTAATTTTCAAAAGAAAGGCTATGATTCAGGTACACTTGAATATCTTTTAAAAATAATACCATAAATTGAACTTTAATACAACTAAATAAAAACAGATATTAGATAAATCAAGTTTGAATATGAAGTTTAAAATTAAAATATAACATAATTGTAAATTTATATAGTTTCTAAAATAATGAGTGCTCTATTATCATAGTCTGATAATGATTCACTAATTATTATTTATTAGACAATAATTATTTATTAATAATAACATTTTGAATAATATGGATTTTATTACTTAAAATTAAATAGAAATACAAACACAGATCATTAGACAATTAGTAACATTAAATGCCTGAAGTAAGGAGCATGTAGAGTATTTGCACACTGCAATAATGGTGATGTTGAATGACATGCAAGAAAAACAAAATAAATTATCAACTGATCAATCAATTGCAACTTCATCTAGTCATGAATTCAAACAAATTTATGAAACACTATCAGTATCAAATGAAGTATCTTTAAATAATTTACAACAGGCATTAACCAACAATAGCACTTTATGTGACAAAACTGTAAGTAATTGTTTTAAATTATAGATTATAATTTTTAATATTGTTGTGTTATTACAAAAGGTAAAAATGTTGTCCTTAATTGGAGGAGGTGATGTTAAAGAGTCATTGAGGTGCATATTGAGAAAATTATTATCAAATGAATATGCTAAAACATTCAGCTACACTGGTCATAAACATTCCAAAACTGCATTTAATTAAACTATTTTGTCATCACTGCTTATAAGCATGTACTTATTTTATTTTATTAGGAATACAATTTAATATTTGAACAGGGCTTAAAAATCATTCTCATTATATTGAGTGTATACTCAATATATATATTATTGGATTATAATTATTTTAAAAGAATACCAAGTTTTACTCAAGTGTATACATTGCTTTTAGGAGCAACTACTGATTGTATCATAATGCTGGTTTCAAAGAAGTAGGAATAGTTAGTGGATTTTATTGACTAATAATAATTGGTACATAGTGTTAGATGTGAAATAATAATTCCTATTTTTAGTCAGTTTAAATATTTTATGATTATAGGTATAGTCCCTATAATTACCCTAGTAAAATATAGGCATATTTATGTAATTTTGGTGTAACAGATATTAAATATTAGAAAATTTTTTTATAAATTGAACTTGTTTTTTTTTTCATAACATAAAATGTACACTTGAAATTATTTGGTATGATAGGAATGATAAATATATCTAAATAAACTTAATTCAATTTTAATTTTCAGATTGAATTTAAGTCTGATAAGTACATATTATATCAGTATTAATGATAATATTATACCTATAAGACACTATTTAAGTTATAATATTTAATATTTTAAAGAAATTAAAAATTAAATTATAAATTAAAATTACTTTTAATTATATATAAAAGATATGTCTATTTTTTATACATAAAATTCTAGACACACCAATTGGAAGTTATTTTATTTAATTTATTTTAATAATAATATTTATTATTTTTAAGCAATTAAAAAAAAAAAATCAAATCAACAAAAATTATATACAAAATATTTATTTACTTAATTAATTTATCCTGGATACATATGGAAGTCAGGGGTATAATATATATATGCATAGTAAAATATTGTGGCGACCGTATTGTAATGATCCTTAGAATTTTGGATAATTATTTAAATATTGCCAAATGATTATAAAATTAAAATAATAAAACAAATTTGACTAATTGTATAATAATTCAACTTTGTTTTGTTTTAGTCTTTAGAAGCAATACAATCAACTACCTATACATTTGGCTGATAAATCAATTAAAAAAATTGAAACAATTGCAAGCATTTAGCTGAGTAAAGCTGGTGAATTATCTAAACATTACCCTAAATTAATTAAAATATTATTTTATTATGTATTTGAAATTTTTATAATAAAAGAAAAGAAAAATTGTTAAAGATAATATTACTTGTTTTGTTTTATAAAATTGTGGATAACAACTTAATTAATTATTTAACAAATGTTTTATTTAAGGTACATACTTTAATCTTGTATGTTGTACTAATTAAAAATTAATTTAGAATTCTAATAAAAACTTACACCTATTAATAATATATCATTTCAAAATTAACAAACCCTTACCTTCAACATAACATTGTAAAAATGATATTTGGATATTCTATGAAAACGAATACCTAATAATTTATTGGGAATATACTTTTACTAACCGGTAAAGAGTATTAGTATTATACATTTATTGTATTTTGGTTGCTCAAAGAATAATTATTGGGAGTCCCATTTAAATATTCATTGGCTATTATAGTAACAATTAATTACGAATATTCAATAATTATTAATTCAGTGATTTAAGACACAATATGGATATTCTTTTGGAATATTCTTAGTTTATTCTGAATATCCGGATTATTCATATAATGCCTAAAAGTAGCTCATTTAATGACTTTTTAGTTTTTAATATTCCATGCTCATTCATAGATGATTAAATGAAGAATGAAGAATAATCAATGCATATTCCTTACATTCTTTTCAAATATGCTATTAATATGCTATGATTGTGTATGTGCTACTTGGGTGTACTGTGTTTATTGCCCAGTGTTGTAAAATATGCTTAAAAAAATTGTATTTGAGTTAATATTAAATTATTTGGAGAACAATTTTTTTTTAATTATTTAATACAATGATTTTTAAATAGTTACATATTATGTTCAAAGCTTTGTAACTTTGAAATACTTTAATTTGCCAATAATAATTAATTATCCACACAGCATTTTGAAAATATTTATATCTTCAAAATATTTTAATTGGGTTTCATTTGCGGCGTTCAGATATCCGTGGATGTATATTGTGATAGGTCATTACCCTTTATCATTTGACGTATTTCGTGTGAATAATATTAATTTGTTTGACTTTTTTTGGTTAGCCACTGTATTCAGCGACTCCAGCGACCTTCACTTTAGGTTTACAGGTAAGTTATACAGTTTTATTATTATCTGTCGTTAGTTTGAAGGAAAATATTTTTCGCTATAGTCAGCCGATTACGTGCTGTTTTTCAATAGCCGTCAAAAACAATATACATTGTTCTTTTCCGCGTTTCGTGTCTATTTCTCCATTTCTTTCCGTTAACACAATTTACAAATAAACACGTTCTATAAAATATGATAACTTTTTTAAACAGTCAAAAAAGAGTACTCAGTGCGCGTCGTGCGATGACAAAAAGCGGCAGGCGAGAAATATTTAAGTTATGAATAATACTTAAATTAAAAATATTGGGTATAAAGCAGTTGCGACTCATGCACTGCAGTCTGCGGCAGGATAATCCCACATAGCACATTATATTAATAGTATATTCTACAAAAATACCATTCATACTATACTCCGGCCCACGAGAGAGTATTACCGTTTTGCGCATGCAGACTGACGGCGGAGACCGTTCTGAGGCCCCATTTCCCCCACTATTTCCGCGACCGCTATACACCGTATAGCGTTGAGCGCTGCCGACCGGTACCGAACAGTTGTCGGCACATGCCGAGTAGTGGGGAAAGCGCGGAATCGGACGAGTTTTCGTCGGGCGACGGTAATACTCTCTCGTGGGCCGGAGTATATAGATATACAGACACTTCAGAAGATACGATACGTATATACTAGATTAGATATCTATTATTGAATGAGAATAGAATATTCTTCATTTATTATTTTAAGATGCACATATTCTATACTATCTAGAATCTATACGGCATATTCATTGTATATGATAATGTTATATGCTAAGAATATTCGTTTTATGTTATACTATGAATTTTCGCTGTGGTACAGAGTATGCGCGCGCTTATTAAGAGGACGCCACACCCGCATGTGTTGTCTCCGTCTTACAAATGTACAACATAGCAAAAACTCTTTTGCGAGGGACAACTTTTCTCGCACCATATTTGTTGTAGAACTACCAAATTTTCACAGCACTTAAAGAAGAACTTTATCTGTGCAACAGCGTGCTCTTTTTTTCAATAGCACCATCCAATCATTTTTTATAAGCAAATTAAAAAACCAAATGTTTAGAAGCAAATAACTTGTATTGTATATATGTTATTGAAAAAAAAGCACGCTGTTGCACAGATAAAGTTCTTCTTTAAGTGCTGTGAAAATTTGGTAGTTCTACAACAAATATGTTGCGAGAAAAGTTGTCCCTCGCAAAAGAGTTTTTGCTATGTTGTACATTTGTAAGACGGAGACAACACATGCGGGTGTGGCGTCCTCTTAATTGATAATATAATATTATTATTACACAATAGACAGTGAATCATTTTGTTTTCGTTTGTCCACTATAACCGTCGCCGTTTAAAACTTTGAGTTCGTGGTATTTATTCTTATAATCTTATTGTTTATACATTTTGACGTAAGTTCATTTGTGATTTGTGGTTCAAACTCAAATTTGATCAAGTAAGTATATTTTTTGTTTATTTATTTATATAAATTATAATAATATGATCAAGTTCACGTACCTATAATTGATATATAATAGTTTGGGTACTAGAATAAGCTTATTCTTTGATTTTTATTGTAATTAGTCAAATCCTAGTCAATATACTATCATAGTTAACTTTTGAGTTAATTTATTAACTACCCGCATGTGCCCGCATGTGCTGTCTATGTGTTACCAATACTAACGCTACACGCCATAGCAAATTTGCGTTAAGCAGAATTTATTGTATCCATCAACACCTTATTCTGTTGATAAATCAGACTTTAATTTGGTAATTTTCAATTTTGATCTATCTTCTTGTAGTTTCTTAATGAAAATTATTTGAATAAATAGATAATACGCATAAAATCAATTAATTATTATTGTTTGTGAACATATTATTACAATTAAAAACAAAATTATTAAATTAATATATTTTTCTTTAAAAAAAACATATTGAGAACTTAATTTATAATTTAAAATCTAGATAAATTGATAATATATTATAATTAGTTATATACATTTTTTACATTATTATTATACAATTGTACCACTGTATTTATAATGGAATACCTACTAAAATTTTTCAAATTTTTATTTACTTTAACCAGCCGAGCACTTCGTCAACCAATTTAAGTACCACCGTCATGGAATCTTATGCTGCGCCCTCGAACGTTGTAAGTAGGATAGTAATTGTATAGTTCGTTTTAGGATTACATTTTGGTTTTATTATCGGTTAATAATTTACATTAGTTAATTTCTGTTTTTTTTTTTTTTTGTAAATGTTATTTAACTTATAATTTCGCCCTTCAATGACTTACGGAATACAGTTATGAGGCACCTCCAAAAAATATTTCTGCTTATCATTCGCTATATTAAAATTATAAAAAAGAATATATTGTTGTATTATAGAATATAATTTAATCATTCAATTTCAATGTATTATTATTAAAAAGTATGTGGCCCACAACAACTTCTACGGATATGATGCGGAACTGTCTTCACAAAAGGTAGAACACCAGATGGAATTTAAGAAAATAAGTTTACTAGAGCTAGTGCGGTCTTCACTAACGTTGAAAAACCAAGAAAACGTTCAACCAATTTGGATTCATCCTTAAACCTCAATTCACCTTAAGATAATTGAACATTGAGTTCTTTGAGTAATATCGGTAGTATCATCTACTTGAACAGAATAACATTTACATTTTTTTATTTCATTTACCACACAATTCGGTAGATAATCAGGAATGCATAAAATTATATCACTTTCTACTGTATTTACACCATTAATACACCAGAAAACAATGGTTTTATAGTAGTTTTGAATTTCAAAGGAACTTCTATTTAGAAACATATCAAACAACTCTCGAAAGTTACCTTTATATAAAGAGTTTATGCTTTCATCGTCTCCGCGAAAGGGTTTTCCAAAAACAACACTATATCAATTAAACTTTCCATAAATAGACGATTTAGCTTTACGTTTTCATTAAACTTTTTTTTAAATAACGTGGAATTTAATCACCAAGTAGCTGTGAATATGTTCTTTTGATGACTGGTGAAATTTTATACTACGGGACAAGTTTTTAAAATCTCAAAAACCAACTGTCGACCAACAGATTTTGACTGACCTAACAATAAACACGGCCAAAAAAACAACGCTTGTTTGTAAAAACTTCCACAAAGCCAAGAATGAAAATCATACCACACAGGATTAAACAGTCGACTAAATACTTTGCCACCTTTTTTGTCAAGTGATTGGCACGACGAAAAAGGAGTTAGCTTGCCTTTTCTAACCAAATCATTTTTATGAATGTTATTCCAACGCCTAAAAGGCGTTTCAAGTAATATCACTATACTGGATCATTTATAGGATCCATATTTCCAGAATGTGACATAGTGACAAGCCATAGCCCATAAGTATGTACTAATGTAAGTATAGTATGTATACGTATAGTACGTATAGTAGTATACAACAACAATATATAACAACGCTCAAGAATAGGAAACACAGTATACTACAGTACCACGGTCTACGACTACGAGATAAAAGTGATTAGTGGAAGTGTGGAAAAGTGATAGCAGATGGGCGAAAATACAAAATACGAATAGAAGATAAGTGCAGTAATTGTACGATTTTATCTTCGCAGGAAAAATCACAAATTATTCCAATATGGCGTCACTACACTGTGATCACAAAATAATATTGAATTTTGACCACCAACTATTGAAATCAATAACTAGCAACAATAGGCAAAATGAAGGTCACGTAAAAGCCAAAAGGTATATTAATAATGGATACACTAGTATTATTGACTAACTTAATATACTCGCGATTATGTCGATATGCAACAGTTTTCGTATAATATTTAGATTCTCTACGAAAAGTTATTATTCGAGACTTAACAAAATAATTCAAAACCATTTATGAACGGTCACAATGTATCAAATTTAATAAGTACACATTTTTCAACATTTCTGATTTCTTAAAATTGTTTTGATTCAAGAGCAGGTATAACATTATTGTTACTCATAGTAACTACATATTTTTTTTTTTTATAGTATGACTTTGCTTTCTATGTTTATAATAGAATAAATTTGTGCACAATAGGAAATCCCAAACATAAAAAAATAATGCTTACAATGGGTGACTTTTAAAACAAGCGATTTTTTAGAGTTCTACCCAATAAAACTATGGCATTTAAAAATGAAACGTGCAGTGGTGGAAAAGTTTCAAAAGAACGGTTGACTGTGCTATTGTGCTGTAATATGATAGGTGGGTTGAACGTCCTCTCGTCATAGGTAAGGCAAAACGACCGCGAGCTTTCAAAAAATTAGACGTAAATAAATTTCCCGTTGACTGGTTGTTGGAATAAAAAGGCCTGGATGACGACACAGATTATGACAGACTGGCTTATGAAATTCGATAAAAAAATGATTAAAAGTCAAAGAAAAGTACTACTTTTTGTCGACAATACAGCTCCTCATCCCCATCTTAAACTGCAAAATGTCGAGCTAGTGTTTTTTCCCCCAAATATGACGTCTCACTGCCAACCTTTGGACCAGGGCATAATTCAACAATTTAAAAAGCTCTATCGTAAGCAACTGTTACAAAAAGCAATTGCTGATTTGGATGCTGGAGAATCTAGCGCTATAAATGTTTTGGATGCTGTGTATTGGGTGGCTTCTGCTCAATCCCCAATTAAAGTCTAAAACTGTAAAAAAATGCTTCTTGCGATGTGGTTTCAGTCACCAAGGCGATGAACAATTAGGACAAACAATTGATACTGGAGAACAATCCGTAGTAGATGGAGAACTTTTAGCTCTCATCACACTGATCGACAGCAGTGTTGAAGTAGAGACATATTTTGAAGTAGACAAAATCATTTCCACTCACGACACCAATCTAACGGGCGCCGATGATCCTGATGAACCCGGTGAGCCCGAAAATGAGGAAGAAGACGAGCCTGAAGAAGCAGAAACTTCAAAATATCAAATAACAAGTTTACAAGATGCTTTGTCTGCTGTAAAGAGCGTAAGTCATTTTATTTCATCAATAGAGGTAAAGAGCAATTCTATTTTTACTTCTGCTGTAACATTAGCGAATGATATAACCAATGAGATTGCACAGAGACGGTGTAATTACAAACAGACAAAGCTCACCGATTTCTTCAAACAAAAATAATTTAAAAATACATGTATGTACATAATTTTGATTTTGATTGTAAAAATTTACTTAAATAATAATAATTTGTAAAAATATAAAAATGTAATAATTTACAATAAATAATAAGTAATAACATTATATTACAAATAAATTTCAAAAATGTATCCCATCTGAATAACGGACAAAATTTTGGTGACCGAGAGTGTTCGCTATTCAGAGGTTTCACTGTACTTGTAATGACTATGGTGAGACATTTAATTCAAAAATTAAAATAATTAAACACATAAATACACATAATGGTAGTCAATTAGGCCATATTAAATGTTCTTACGAAAATTGTGAATCATCATTCAGACTTTCCTGCCAAGCCAGAAGAACATGAACAAAGTCCACATTTAATATGAACATAATACCATAAAGTTTCTTCTTGTTCACTTGGCACTAAAAATTCATTATCATTTTCTTGTACAATCATTTCTTTTTTTAAATATGTAACTTTCTTCATCATTTTTTGTATCATTAATCTTATTGAGGAAGTTCTACTGTCTGCAAATTCTCTTAATCTTCTTTTATAATAATTTTCTAAAGCTGTACTAGTTAAATCTAATAAGGCTAACACATTGTACGCTTTTACTCTACCTAAAACGTGATCTTTATAAAGCCTAACTGCCACTTCACAATAGTTATTAGTTACATGACCTCTAGAAAAACTGTCCCTAAAACAAATACACCATTTTTCTTTATACGTCCAATAATTACGCAAATACTTTGTCCATTGAGCAATCGTCCTAGCAATCGCGTTGTAGAGTTCATTGATCTAGTAGATGACGATTCCGAACCAGCAGAAGACATTAAATTTGAGAAAACCATCACTTCTGAAGACATTGAAATTGAGACAACCACCACTTCCCATGGCAATCAGGAGGACTCTGCTTCCAAGAATGTTGTAAGTATAATAATTTGGAATGAAATTTTTTTCGTGTTGTATGTACTGTGATTTACATTTAATTTTTTTTAGGATGCCGTTGAACAGCAATATGAGGATTGTGGTTGGCCGTTACCCGGGGTAAGTGTTTATTTATATTTTATAATGGTCGAAAAAAATTTTGGATTACCTACCAAGAATAATTGAACATTTATTACAAGGTTCCTTATGAGTTGTTCTTATTGTAGCTAAAAAAATTAAAAATCGTATTTCACAATTTTTTTTTTATAAGAGTTTACAGTTCAAATGTTTACGAAACATGACAATATCGTGAAAATTTGCAAGTAATTTTGAAGTTGAAAAATCATAATATTTATTGTTTTTATATGTAAGAATAAAATATTCAACACTAAGTTTTCCATAAGTTTTCCTTCAAGTAAGTATAGAGAAAACTCGAAGCATCATTATAGGAAAAATTTTAAGTGCGTTAGAGTTTTTAATTTTTACTAAATAGCGTAACGACAACTGTTTATCCTCAAACGATTTTAAATATTTGTTGTTATTCAAATAGTATAAGTCGTAAATACTTGAAAATTTCATCATTTATTTATATTGGCATTTTCTTTACATGATTTGATTTTCAAAATATTTTGACTTTTTTTGAGCTATTTATTATACAACTGGCATTTTCAATTTTCATAAGAATTTTTTTTTTAAGTGTCGATAAAATTTTTTTGGCCGAGTCAAAATATTTGAAAAATTAATACAAAGTTTATATATATTATAAATATATATATATGTGTATTATACATAAGTTATTCTTATGGCGATAAAAAAAACATATAAGAATCCATAGGCACAATTATTTTTTATTAGCATTTGAAGTTGAAATATAGACAAAATTTCGTCAAAATCTTGAATATATTTAATTATTTGGTAGTTAAAAATTTATAAATATTTTATTATCAAAGCAAAGAATTGAAAATTTAATACTATGCTGTCCATTAGCTAAGCTTAGAATAATTATAAAAAAGTTTGAGGATTATTCAATTTAAAAAATTGCACAAGTGTTTAAAGTTTAATTTTAATTTGAAATCAAAAATACACGTGTAAAATAACGTTTTACTACTAAATAATTTTAGATTTTTGTTATTTTTAAAAAATTACCAAACGTAGGATCTTGGAAACTTTTACTCAAATGTTTGAATGTGTTTCAAATTAGAATATATGACAATATTTAAATATAATATATCCTAGACTGACAAATCATCTCCGTTCAGAATCGTTTTTCGTATACAATGATACCTATCATTGCATTCAAATTTAACCTACTCTAGTCTGAGGTTCACCCCACCCCCTAACGTACAGCAGAGTGATACCCACTTATCCGCTTTTTTTCCTTTGCTTTTTAGTTTAAGACTCTTAAGCTTGACCAGTTGGGTAAGCTAAAAGAAGTGAAAATGGACGTTGATAGCGTAGTTTTAGCGTTTTCTTCCCTCTCGGCTACCGACCCACACTGCCGTTTGACGTGCATGTTGATGGTGTAATTTCACAGTGCACCAACATCAAGCTGTTAGATAGTATTTTCGGCCATTCCCCTAAAGGTATGTTTGGATGATTTATTGTGACTGTAAATCATTGGATATTTTTTTAATTTGTATTTTTTGTTAGACTTCACACATGTAGGAAGTATTTCAGGCCGTCGAGGTAGATTGGCGGAAACGGTTTATGGAATTAATTTTCGGTCCAGCATTGGCCAACCTGTTTAGCCATTCCCTTAGCCGGATGAAGGGGGCCGGTAACTTCAAGTCAAAGAAGTGGCATGTTCACCACTAGGACTGGTCAAAAATTTGTTATGAAGTTGATAGACTCTCAAGAGCAAACGAAGTTTTCGGACAGTGTCTGTAAGCTATTTCATTTTTTTTTTAAAGTTTAGCGTTCACTGTATATCAACTGTTGTTATTTTATTCATATATAATATATATATATTTTTTTTTAATGTAGATTTTATTGCGCTGGACATGGGCTGCAGTTGTCACCAGATGCAGCTGTACCTTATATTAGTAGGTTTATAGACCCCTATAATCCTACTATTGTCATTGTACAGTTGTATTATGGTGTCAACCTGCGGATGCAGTCATCCTGCAGGTCCCTTTTATTTAGAAGGGAAAATGTTTTGCAATCTTGCAATAACGTCAAATTTTTTCATGGCCTGGGTAGTTACGACTTTTGGATACTTCAAAGGAAACCCTAAAGCCACTGTCAAAGTAATTTTTTGTTTTGATTATTAACACAGCAGATTAAAGTTTAATTATAATTGTGTATTTTAGGATATTTTGCCAAATTCAACATACTTACAGGGCTTCAACCCCGCGGTGCATATGCTTCGAAACGGGTTAAGTGCGATCGGCATTGTCACTTGGCTATTGCTCGGCGGCCGTCATGTCGAGAACAGCAATATGGCTCAAGTGAGGAATGTCGACGATGTAGCCGGAAAATTCCTATGTTCCATGACCGACTTCCTCATGGACGCCGTCACCGGGTGTAGCGTCCGTGTTGAATGACGAGCGTCTCGAGAGCAAAATTGCGCCACTAATCAGAATCGTTCATATTTGTTATCACTATTTGTGAAAATCACGTTTCTTATCATCCTTTATAAAAATTATAATGTGATAATATAATAATCATCAATCATACAGGTTTATGATGGGTATTGGGTACTTTCAATTCTATTAGTGAACTAATTCATGTGATTCAGCTCATTAAAATGTCATTGAATCACTGAATCAATTCATTATATTTACATTTTATAATTGTGACTAATATTTTAAACCTAAGGGCTAATAATTATTTATATATAATTTATATCTTTATATATATAATTCTACTGTACGAGTGTTTGTAAGTTGAGTGGGCCTTTGAATGGTTTAGATTCACAATCGGACCCGGTAGGCCCATTCCGGGGAGGTGCTCAAACAGGAATGTTGAGATTTACGGTGGATATTTTTGTTTATAAATGGTTGCCTTGGGTTTTAAAGCTATTATAAAAATAAATATTGATTGAAATCAGAAATAATTTATAAACAACGTTAAAGCTAGCCATACACGTTCCGGTTTGCCGGAGAGGTCGGACTGCACAGTTTAACCTGCACAGTTTTTACCGATTTCCGATGACGACATACACGCCACGATTTGCCAGATACGCAGGACTGCGCAGTCACACGCTTTCCGGCCAAAATAGTCCTCAGCTGCGGGTCGTCGAATGTTCAAAATATTTATATTTTTTCACCGTTTTTTCAATCAGATTCTTTAATATATTTTTCACATTATTTTTTTTAATTCACATACAATATGTCAGTCCTAGACGACGACGCCATAGCTTTGGTAGGCTTAGCTCTAATTCTTAAAAACAAAAAACAAAAAAAACGCGAAAAATGGGCCAAAGATTGGCTCTTAAAACGAAAAATCTACAGCCATGTCAATTTATTAAATGAATTGAGATTCGAACCACTGGATTTCAAAAATTATTTACGAATGGACGAGGATACTTACCGTAATCTACTGTCAATGGTTGCGCCTTTAATACAAAAACAAGACACTGTAATGCGTAAAAGTATTTCTCCGCATGAGAGGTTAGCAGTTACCCTAAGGTTCCTCGCAACTGGAAGGACTTACGAAGACTTAAAATACACTTCAGTCATTTCATCTCAAGCACTTGGAAAAATTATTCCAGAGACCTGTGATGCTTTGTACCGAGTATTACGTAGGGAATATTTAACTGTAAGTACACAAAATATTTTAATGAATATATCATACTTTTAGATTCTGAGTAGAACGAAGAATGTATTGATTTTACAATGATGTGTTTTTTTAAATTTTTTATTTTTTTTTGTGTCTGTGATCACAAAATTTATCAAAATATCGAAAATTACCAATCACTGTAGTTAAAAAATTATAAAATGTTCAGTTATTATAACTAAGGATTGAAAATTTAAAACAAAGATTCTCATAAATAATTCATACTGTAAAATCTAAAAAATACATAAACACAGTTTTTTATTAATTAATATTTATTTAAATCTATAATATGTAGATACATTGTTTAGTTTTCAAGAGAGTTTATAAAATTAGTTATATAATGAGCAGCATTTTCTGGTTGAGTTTGTTGTTGATTAGTAGCAATATCATCATTTTCTTGATACACGTAGACACCATTTTCAGAAAAAGAACTCAAATTAGAATTTGTACTAAAATTTGAATTTGAACTATGATTTCGCGCGTAACAGCTTGATGTATCTTCTGCTGTTGTTGTTAACTTATGGTTTAATGTCAAGCTACCCATTTCACCCTCGAAAAGGATATCATTCATCAACTTCTCAGCAATGATTCGCTGCCTTTTTTCCATTTCCCTCAATCTCATAGCAAAACCTTTTGCACTAACGTCATACCGATCTTCTTCCATTTTCGGTCGTTTAAAATGATCACGCACCGATAGCAACACCTCAGTTTGCAACTTTGCATCGTTTTTTTTTTGATTTTTCTTCCCTTGGTGGATTAACGATATCTGATTGCGCAACTGTCGAATTTACTGAGTCGATTCCTCCTACTTCATTTTCCAGATTATCATCTATTCCAATCTGAAATAAAAATGAGATAAATTTAATTTTAAAATTAAATACAATTTTAATTAAATATAATTTTTAATTTAATTTTTTTTCAGTTTCCTACAACTGAGGTAGAATGGAAAGACATTGCACAATTATTCGAGGAACGTTGGAACTTTCCACACTGTATTGGTGCGCTCGACGGAAAGCACATAAATATTGTTCCACCAGCTGGAAGTGGATCCGAATTTTTCAATTATAAAGGCCACCATAGCATGGTTCTCTTAGGTTTAGTAAATGCAAATTATCAATTTCTATTGGTAGATTTTGGAACAAATGGCAGAATTTCTGATGGGGGTGTTCTTCAGAATACAACGTTTTTCGAAAAACTACTAAATGAAGAATTAAACATTCCTTGCGCAGACAACATTGAGGGAAGTTCCAAGCAATTACCATATGTTTTTGTTTGCGATGATGCCTTTCCGTTACGAACTGATATGCTTAAACCGTTTCGACAATCACATTTGGATTGTTATGAAAAAAAAATATTCAATTACAGGTTAAGTCGCGCACGACGAATCGTGGAAAATGCGTTCGGAATATTGGCAAATCGATTTCGTGTATTCCATACTCAAATTAATATTGAACCAAAAAAAATTGAAAAAATTGTAATGGCATCATGCGCATTACATAACTTTCTCATTGTAAATTCTGCTACTTCATACGCGCCTCAAAAATGTTTTTACCAAGAAGACATAGCAAATGGAAGTATAACTACGCTTGGATACAACGTTGAAAATAGTAATATGCACAGTTTAGATCGTCGTAACTCGGGGAATATTGCAAATAGTGCAAAACAAGTACGAGAAAATTTTATGAATTATTTCTGTAATGAAGGCACCGTGCCATGGCAAAATAAGTTTATCGCGTAATTTAGTATATTTATTATAAACGATATATTTGTATATTTGTATTTTTTTTTATTTGTATATTATTTTGTTTAATTAAATATTTCAAAAAAAAATAACCTTAATTGTTTTACCAACCTCAGATATGCTTTCATCTTGTATGTCCAAATTTGATGTTGATCCTCGAGGCGTATCTTGGTCGTTTAAAAAGCTCATCATATCATAATACCACAATTTAGGCCGATAAACATCGTCAGAAGAAGCTCCTGACTTGAGAGAAGCTTCATATTTTTTTTTTTCTTTTCGGGCACTGCTTCTTAAATTGTTAATTTTCTTCACAACTAAATCTTTGTTAGCATCTGGTTCAAATTCTTTTAATTTTTCGATTAATGCTTTGTAAGCCGCTTCCCTTAGTGGGCGGTCATGGTAGAGCTTCGATTTTATTTGCCACAGACATGGATATGATTTATATAAATCTATAAATTCTTCCAAATTCCTACGGTTCATTATTATATTATATAATATAATTTAATAAAATATGTATAATATAATATAGTAAAATATGTTAAATAACTTGTAATAAATTGTAAAATAAGTTACATTGACAACAAACAAAAAAAACAAACCTAAACCTTAAATAAACAGCAAAAGTACTATGCCGCAAAAGTGAACCAGCCGGTCGAACGACGGTTATATCAACACACGGGCACACACGATCCGGTATGCCTGTACAGTCATGACTGTACAGGCCAAAAGAATCGTTTTTCAATTGTTTTCCGGCCGCCTGTGCAGTCCCCGAAAACTGCGCAAACTTGTCACACACACGTTCCGGAAAAACTGTGCAGTCCGCCTGCACAGTCCGACCTCTCCGGCAAACCGGAACGTGTATGGCTAGCTTAATATAATTAAATCCAAAGAAAATTTTAAAGTTTAAGTCATAGATTTGGTACATTTAACGGGTAACAAAGTACACGGGATCAGCTAGTTTACATATAAAATCAAATTGACAAACTTAAAGTATAATATTAAATGAAAAATCAATCACTGTCACTGTATTATTTATATGTTAATATGTTATATTTATTTACTTTGAAAATACAAAACATAAAATGTTTAATATGTTGTGGTTTTTTCCCTTTAATTATATTTAATAGTTATTATACCAATAATGATTATTTATTTATTTTTTATTATTTATAAAATCATAAAACCAAATAACAGAATGATTTGTTGAGTACTAAAATGAGATTGGAGACAGAATAACTTTTTGTAAATTTATTTGGAAAATATACAATACCAGTTTTTCAACAATTGTTTATATTTTTCATTTACTAAATTAGTATACAAATACGAACAAAGAAGATGAACAGTTATTTCAAATAAAAAATCAATTAGAAGCTGGAATAGGAATATTATCGTCCCTTATTGCAAGTAAAAGTGAGGTGACCGAGAAAGAAATTGCAGCAATGAATAAACATAGCAGTTCCTTACTTCAAATATTACAAGGAAAACGAAAGATAATCGAAATAGAAGAAAATAAGGAACCTGTAAACAAGAACATCGATAAACAGAAACGATTTGTGGCCAAAAAAAGAAAAATTGAATCACTCAGTGGTAGAATAGAATGTAACGAAAGGAAATCTCTGAAGGAAGGGTTGGTATTGGGAGAAGTACAAAACATACATACTTCCCACGATCATACTTACCAGTAATATATTTTAATATCCACATGCTTTTTTTACTATGATTTATTTTTATATTTTAGGACGTTAGGTTTGACAAATATTTTAATGTATTTATTTAATTATAACATATTTTAATTTTACTGTAACTATTATAGATAGACTTAAGGTTGACAAATATTATGTGATTTTTTTTATTTGCTTTAGGTTGACAATATTATATAAAACGAACTTTTTTTATAACACAGTACTTACACAGTAACACTTGTACTTACAAGTAAGTATAAGTTGTCACTTAATACGATTATGCTTTATGATTACCTATCTCATATCGATTTATCTGAAAAAAGTCTTCTATTTTTTTATATATATTATTATTTATTATCTATGATAAGAAACGTGATTTTTCACAAATAGTGATAACAAATGTGAACGATTCTGATTGGTGGCGCAATTTTGCTCTCGAGACGCTCGTGTTAAATGTGTCGTCAGTGGTAAAACTTCTCACGAAGTCTTATCACTGATGGGCACATACGGTTCTCGGCTAGTAGAATTTTGCGTTAACCGCAAATTACTAGTATATTTGTCGAAGAATTGGCCGTATTATGTTGACAGTAGAATCACTACCGTCCTTCGACAGCTCAGTAAACTTATCGATGTGGCCCACAAAGAAAAACTGGATCGAAACGTTTGTATATTTTTTACTATATTTTCTATTGGTTTAATGTGGTTTCTGTGTGCCTTAACGACTGGTTATATTTATGTTTTTGTTTGTAGGTTTTATTACAAATTTACGATTTAGAAATGATTCTGCGGTTTCACGCGTTTGGTAAATCACACTTTCTAGATTCAACAAGATTGTCCGTGTTATTTCCAGTCATACAGGTTTTACCTGGTCGTCGTCGGAAGAGTCGACGCGACGCGGACGGCTATGTCAGGTTCAACCCAACTGCGGTTGGTTGCCGTGTGAACTACACAAATTTTTATTTGTTTGGACATGTGCCTATTGGCTCGTATGTCAGGAAGGATTTGAGTAGGTTGTTCCAAGTCCTAACGCAAGACGTTCTCGCTTGTTCCACCAATGAGGTCAGTTAAGTCGTGGTTATTGTACCTATTTTGGTTGAAATTAAAATTTTTTTTTTTTTTTATTGTCATGTGTAGGCTGCCGAGCGATGGGTATTAATTTTATACAATCTAACAACCCAAGATTGTGGAATGTCTACGGCAGTAAAATCGGCCGACTGCTTTTCTATCAAGAGGCTTGTTAGGGATTATGGTAAGACATCTTCTGACGTTTCTTTTAGCAAACTTTCCATTGCAGGGAACGTCTCTGTAGAAGATGTTTTTATTCGAATTACAAATCCGCATACCTATCAGCTAGACATCGTCAAGTCACTTTTTTTAAAGAGGGCGGATTTGACTGATGTCTAAGTTAGATTAATGGCTATGATTAATTCATTTGAGGTAATACCGGCTCCCTACGTCTACCCTAATAGCCACCGTAAATCGTAAGTGTCCTTTACATTTTTATGTTTAGTTCTTTCTATGCTGATGTTTCGATTTATTCTAGATGCGAGTGGGTGTTCGTTGGCAGGGATGATTCGAGATCCAAGTTGGTCATAGCCACCAAGGCTGAAATGGCGGAGGCAAATAGGTTTCACCTATTGAACAGGGAAGTGGTCGACGTTTTCAATGTATGATAGTTACTTTTTTATTTGTTTTTACTATTCATTCCTTTGCTTAAATGTATACGTGAATATTGTTTTTTTTTCAGGATTCTTCAAATAATTTTCTTAACAAAGTTGAATCCTCTGATGTATGTATATGAGATTTATGGTTAAAATTTTTTTTTATTATATTATATTATATTAAATTTTGTTTTTTTATTTCTTTTGTCATAGGATACTTTATCCCTTAAGGACAGGGTAAATGTACGTGTTGATCGCTGGAAGTCAGAACCATTGAAGGTGGTGCCATACAAATTTTATAACAAGGTCCATTATCCTTTCGGGGCCAAGGCCGATGGTGAACCTGTGGCCGACATTGTATATCGGCCGATATACAATGACTCAGTCGTTAAACAGATAATGGCATCAGTGGCCAGCGGTGCCGCTAAAAGACATACTGCTGCAATTGACGTCGGTGCTGGAGTGCCCAAGGCACCTATCATGCGGCAGTTATTTGTAGACGCGGTGACCGGCCAGCCGATTGGTAAATATATAAATCTAAAAATTGACTGAAATACTTTTATTTTTATTTGTTCTGGAT